TGCATGCACAGAATCCCGTACGGAATCGGCACAGTTGCATACTTGGTCTTCAACTGGAGAGAACTGCAGAGAGAATTTCCTGAACCTCTCAGTCCATCAGTCATGCTTGTTCAAATAAAGCAGGCGGTTTGTTTCTTGGCTAGTTACTGACCCCAAAGTCATGAGTAAGGGATCGTGAGTAGTGTGTAAAGGCTGTAACTGGTTCAGAAAACCTTTAATTGGCTAATTAAAAAAAGCCCTATAAGGGGCTGCAAAGAATCACCCCAAATGTTCCTAATGCAGACTGACATTTTGATTTTCCCCAAAGTTCGAAGCAAGACTTTTGGTATGATCACAGTTTGAGTTGGAGAGGGTAGAATTACTTTCTTCCAACAACTCATTCATTCCTCCAAAGAGTGCTGACACAATCAGATCTCTCATCAGGGTTTAATGCTAAGTCTCATAGCCCTGAAGCAGCATAAAAATCTCTATTTCCTGAACATTTCACTGACCTGTGGTGCTAAAGACTTGCCAACTAAGACAAACCATTAAATGAGCAGGGAACCACAACAGTAAAAATATTGTTTGAGGCAGCCATGGCTGGTAAGACCTCAGGGTCTAAATCCAAAAATATTTTATCATCTTTAGTAAAAGTACTGCTCTTTTCAGAGGTGCTGATTGAACTCCCATTAGTGGAGGTGGAATTTGAGACACACCACACACATGGACCTGGCACCAAGTTCCCATGTGATCCATGCAAGTACTAGGACATCCCCGCAGTGCCCTGGCTGTTGGATATTGCTCTAAGGACAGCCCAGTGCTGAATGTGTCTTGCAGAGCAAGTCTTCTCTGGATCTGTGTGCTCATACCCTTACAGTACTTCAGCAAAAATGATGCTGTTGCCTTTTTGCCTTTCTTACCTCTCTACTGTCAAAGCAGGTTTAGTTATATGCATGTTTGTACTGGGGGCTGTGCTCTACTATCTTATCAGCATTATTATTTTTAGCATATCCTTACCAAGAACACCCCCATTTTTGCCCATGATTTTCCTCAAACATCCACTTCAATTTCCTCCTAAAAATTTTCTCATTTATGCACATTCTGAAGATGACAAATGTGTTGACAGTTCAGTGCAAGTTTTCTTCTGTTCAAAATTTCCTCAGATAGGCCCTACAGATGGGCTTTAGACTTCTCAGTTTATTCCTTCTGCTCTCCTTTAATGCTGAGTGTACGTAATCAAAAGATTTCTTTTAATTACCAGCAAAAAGGATAGGTTAAATGAGAGTTTTCTGAATGTAGTTGTATTTTTCAGTTTATTCACAGCCTCCCTCACCCTTCTGCCCAAAGCTCACCATAATGCACATATCCAGAGGGGTTAAAGGAAAAGCAAATATTGGTTGTCTCGAGCTAAAGTTTGTACATTCGCAGCTATAAACGTGAAGCAGTGAGACAGGTGGAGCCACATCATGATATTAAAGCATAAAGGTCAGGGAGTGAGGTGCAGAGTAGTTATATTCAACAGGGCTTTGGTGATTAAAGAGCAGGGATTGCTGCTGCTGATAGATCTGTTAGAAACCTGTTTAGCTGCCTCAAGCATGAATATATCCAAACAAAAGCGTCTATCATCACGAGAATGATAACCCCTAATACTTTTCTTCCTTGTTTGCTTGGGCTTATTCTCATTTTTATTCTTAATCCCCAAAGACTTTGGACTCAGCCTGAACATCATCTTTGTTGAAATCTAATTTGATTTCTATGGTTGGCTTCATTAGATTCTAGTGCAATTCCAGTGGCTCAGTTACTAAATCAAATCTGCTGTGATTGTGGTTCCATATGCTTCACAGGCCTCTTGAATACGGCAGATGACTTGGAGGCCCGTTTCTTCTGTCTTTTATGCATTTTGGACCAACAAATCCTTTTGATTTCTACCTTCTTTGTGAAGTTGTGCTGTTGTAGCTGCACAGGCTGTTTGAATCTGGCAGTACAGAAGCAAAGATGAAAATACTCTGCCTGGAGGAAAACCAATGTCAAATATTCCTATGTGGCTGTCCCTGTCAGGACATCTTCATCTTGCATTGCTTAGTTCCCAGTGTAGGTCTCTATCAGACCTCTTATTTTGTGATGTATATTATGTTTCCTTTTCCCTGTTCTTTTTCTCAGAGAGCTATAAAAATATATCTTTTGTTTTGTTGGGCTTTTTTTTGGGGGTGTGGGGAAGCTTCTTAATGCCTGCTATGGTGGCTTCTTGTTACAAAGACCATCTAGAAGAGGAATCCCCCCGTTAAATATTTAATGCCTTGTCATCAGATAATACATGTAGTATTTGCTGGATTGAACCCCCAGTATTTGCTGGCTTCCTGCTTCCCTGAGATGTTTACCATTCCAGCAACAGCCAGGAGTTAGCTGCATTAATAGGGGTGTAGAATTAACCTGCAACGGGCCACAGCAGCAGCCAAAGTGAATGCTTAAAGAATGAAGTGTTCAAAATTCCTTTACACAGTGGTCCCAGGGGATGTGAGAACTAAAGAGCAAACTGGGCAAGGGCCTTGCTGGCTTTAATTAGAACTTGCTGGGTCTCTCTGCTCTGGCAGTCCGTTACTGATCCATGTGTGAGTGTAGAGCAGACAACTGACTCATTGTAGGAGAACTTGAAACACTAAAAAAAAAACCAAAAAACCCAAAAATACTCTTCCTCACAGGTAGCTGATGGATGGAGCAAGACTTGCCACTGTTCCTCAGTTGCCTGCAGTTCCCATGCAGGAGGGATCGGGGGTGAGGATCACAGCAAGTTTTATGTGCCCACTCAAACTGGGCATCCTGCCCAGTCACCCTGGAGAGCCAGCCTGTCCTGAGGGAGGAAGGGGTGATGTTGGTGATGGCCTCGGGGTAAACTCTGCTCTTCCTTGAATGCCTTTAGGGCGAAAACATAGAATCATTAAGGTTGGAAAAGACCTCTAAGATCATCAAGTCCAAACATCACCCAACACTACCATGACCATTAAGCCGTGTCCCCAAGTGCCACATCTACACATTTTTTAAACCCCTCCATGGGTGGTGACCCCCCCCGGGGGTGGTTCCCCCCCCCCCCCCCGGGCCAGCCTGTACCAATGCCTCACCACTCTGTCAGGAAAGACAGACATAGCAGAGGTGTCTCAGGTGTAGGGTGCTGTGGGAGGTGAGGCCTTTCTTAGCGTGTTGGGTACGCCTGGTGGGACCCTGTGGCTGGAAGGACACGGAGCTGGGGCAGGCAAGGCCCTCCCTGCAGCCGCAGCCCAGCCATGGAGCAGCAGCTTGAGTCTCTCTCGGGCTGCCCAGAGAGCTGAGCACATCTGTCAGCTCATTGTCTGTGTGGAGCTGAGAACAAAGAGGAAAACAACAGAAAAAAAGAAAAATGCATTTAAAAATACTCTTTCATTTCCCTTTTTGCCAGAAGCAGAAGTACTTAAATAACAGAGGACAAAAGCAGCTCTTGCAGAATTTCCAAGAATTGGGAAAAATAAAAAGTCCTGTGAGGAGGACTGTTTTTAGGAGACTTCCAGCCCTGTCCTGCCAGGCCTGGGTGTGCAGTCTGGGGAACCCCTGCAGAAATGCGCCCGGGAGCTGCCTCTCCCTCTCCAAAGCAAACATCAGCCTTGTGGCTGCGCTATTTCAAGTCACGTCAGTTCATTTGGATACATGTCCCCTATTCATTTTAAAGTCAAACTTTCAGAAAGGTATGAGGCATTTTTTTTTCCCCATTGTTTTTTGGTTGTTTTGTTTTTTTTTTTTTCCTGCAAATTGCTTGGCTGAAAAGCTCAACAGACTATAAAAATCAAAGGAGTAGAGATTAAAATCTAAAAAAAAAGTAACAAGGCATTGCTAAAAGATGTTTCTGGGAAGTGTGGGCGTCAGTAGATTTAAGAAATACTTGTAGCCAGATGAAGCACCCAGTCTGTGTACAAATGTCTTGTCACTACTGATGTACTCTTATAGCACGGGGGTTACTTTGATGGTGTTCCGTACAGAGGGTTTGAATTTTATTTTCTTCTAAAAATGCAGTTTTGTGTAACTCAGAATGGAGGCGAGCTGTGTGGATGTAATTAAGAGCAGAAAGACTTCCAGTGGTTCAGAGGTGAAGGCTGTTGCACATGCAATGAGGTGCTTTGACACTGAGAATGGTGAATATTTGGTGTTTAATAGTGATTTTAGGACTGCAAGTGGCACGCTGTCCCAGCCTGCACTGGTGGCAGTGCTGGGGCATGGATCTACTGTCAGAGGAGATGTTGGGGTTGTTCCTCAATCAGAGATGTATTACAGGATATCATGTGCAGAGGTTTCGTGTTGCACAGCAAGAAGCAAGTATAAATAGGAAGAGAGCATCCGTAACAGAAATCAAGCACCCTAAATAGCTGGTTTCCCAGTTACAGTAAGAATCTGTCCCTGTTGAACTATTTCGAGAAAAACCTACACTCCTGTGAGAATTCAGACCATCTGCCAGGTTCACTGTGCAGCATCTCTAACATTCGGCCCTGAAGTGGCTCAGCTGGCTTGCTTTCATCTCTGTGCACCCCATACAAGACCAGGATTTTTAGCTAGTCCCTTCTTCTTGCCCATTCCACCACTTACCACACTGGTCGGGAGCCATGTGGTCATAGCTTAAAATGGTGGGAGGTTTGCTGAGCTGCTGTCCAAATGGGACCATCTTACCTGACCTTGTGGTGTCCTCTATCAGTAAAGCTCGCTGAAATCAGATCTGGTACAAAGCAAATGTTGCACCTGTGCTAAGTGTTTCATTCCTCAGTTTGGCTAATTTCTACACAAACATTTAATTTTAATACGTATGTGAGCTTTTTCCTGGCAAGAGAAGTGTTCAATGATATGTTTAAATTAAATGCGGTTTCTTTTGGTTAGGACTGGGAAGGTGCTTGAAATAAAGTGCATTTTGAAAGCTTTGCTAACTTGATGCCCTCGATTTGTCTCCTTTAACTCAAACTTTATGATTTTAAAAATACAGTGAGTTTAATATTGTGATATTCTTCTAGATGGGCAGCAGATCTGGGAAATGGAGGCAACAGTGGACAAAGATAAGAGCCAGCCTGTAAGTATGCAACATACTGGATGTCCTCTCCTTGGGCTTCTCAGACAGCAAGTTGTATTCAAGGGGTAGTTTTCAAAGAGCATCTCAAAAGCAGAAAAAGCAGCTATCTTACTGCTGTTATGAACAAATGTATTGCAAAAAGAAACTATTCATTTAGCAGTAACCCACAGCAAATTGAGTAACTGCTAGATTTTGTGTTCTTGCAGAGGGCTCTATTGTACCAGCCCAGTCCTCTGCAGAATGCTGGCTGTCATGACTTCCTTTCCCCTCTATGGAAGTCTTGGGTGCTCTGTACTTTGCGGGACAGGATTTGTACTATAGTATTTAAAATGAACATTGATCTTTCAAGGGAATGAGCCTCTTTGTTCACTTTGCTTAATGGGACCTTACTGTAGTAGTTCAGTGCATTCAGGAGCTAACACTGACATTGCCATGGGCAGTACCCATCCTTGTGGAAGAGAACTGGAGACTCACTGTTAATTTCCATGGAGGAAGGATCTGGCTGTATATAAGTAAAAAGCCTATAGAATCATCAGGTTTATTCAAAAAATAAAAAAAAAAGGGACGTCTTCAGTACATGCTTATCAAGTACAGTGTTATTAATAGTATTGCCACTTTTGTCACCATTCTGTGAGTTTTATTTGTAGCTGAAGCTTCTCTTTCCAAGTTCAGGAAAACATCAAGTACAAGAGAGGATATAATACACAGACATCAGCTTCCTCATAGCAAAAATCTTCTAGTGTTTCACCATCTGCCCTTTTTTTCCTTTCTTCTTCTCATACCCTTCTTTATAGGGATGAACAGGAAGATTTACCTTCCTTTGTGCCTGGACACGTAACAGAGGAGATGCACGCAAGAATCTCTGGTCAGCCTCAGTTCCTAATTCTATATTGTCACTTTTTGTTGTTTTCAGAGTATGCTTTTTGTAGAGATACCAGAGTACCGTAACAAGCACATTCGCACAGCTGTGAAGGTGAATTTCTATGTCATCAATGGGAAAAGAAAAAGAAGCCAACCCCAGCATTTTACCTATCATCCAGGTAATTCTCAGGGACAGAGTAAGTGTTGCTTAGCTCTCATGACTAAGATTTTATTTTCTGCTATGTTGTATTCTTGCCATTATTGAGGATCTAGATTTTACTAATCTAATTCAGCTGAGTGCAGCTAAGCACTCAACAACTGTTTGGTTTTAAGGATGTGGGTAATTCATGATCAGGAATTTCCCATAAATTTAAGAGTACAGTTATCTTGATGGGCTGGTGCTGCCCCATTCACCTGATGAAAGCTTGCCAACAGCCTCAGTGGGAGCAGACTCAGTCTGTGACATGATGAGACCCTGTGAAAACCATGAGTATTACCTTCCCCAGCTGACATGTACAACTGAAAGATAACGTCAGATCTGAGAAAGTAACAAGGGCTTGGTAGGGAGGAAGACAAGCAGTATATATGGTTCAGAATGAGGCTGATTGAGAAAAATATGAATTCTTTTCTGATGTTCTTCCTCTTGGGAACTGGTGAGCCATGTCACAATAAATGCAATAGGGTTACTAATGAGATTGCCAGAATTTCTCAGCTTTGGATGGGAGAAAAATATTATGAGAAAAATCAGAGTACTGTGTTTGTGAAAAACAGAAAGCATAAAATAACAGTAACAAGATTTTATATAAGCTTCAAAATGATGTCTTCATTTGACGCATTTCTAAGGACAGGCTAACATTCATTCTGATTCTTTTGGCCTCCCCCAGCATGAAAAATCTCTGTTCCTCTCTGAATTTATGAACTCCAGTGTGAAAGTTTTTTATAGTTCCTAATTTGTTCTGCTCTGGAATAGTATTGAGAAGTACAATACTATCTCAATATGATCCCTAAAGTAGAACACTTTGGAGAAGGAATCATTATACTTCCAAAAAACCCTCTTGCATGACCATTATATGGCAACCATTATATAGCTTCCATTATACAGTATTTCTGTACTGAGTGTTGATGAAGATTTGACAAAAATATAGCATTAGAAATAGGAGAATTGTCTGTAGAGGACCATCGTTTATCCACACCAAGATTCATATAGCTCTTGGTAAATCATGGTTGTTTGAATTATGGTATCAGAAAGATCTTCAGCTCTCAGTACTGAGGAAGTTACATATAGCCAAGGAACTAAAAAGAAAGCTCTAATATAAATCAACTCTACCTTTATCCACTAGTTAACTGTTTGACAGTTGTGTATGAGTTGAGGAGTTGTGTATGTCACGGGATTTCTGTTTATTCAGCTTTCCTTTGTGATGGGAATACCATGTGAAACACCTATCTCTGGCTTCTTATTTTGCTTACTTTCCAGAGTGGCCCTTAAATGAATTAGAATACAAACTAAAGTATTGTATTTTTCAATTTTTATAAATTTGTGGTTAAATAGTTTGTTAAAGATTTTCAAGAACCTCTTAGTACAGAGTGCTTTCAAGGGAGACTGACATTATTGCTTATACGTGACTTATTAATTCAGTGCCTGTGAGATAAGAGCTTGCACATGCAAATCTTGTAAAGGGTTTAAATCTCTTACTGCTTCAAGGAAAACCTCTCTGTTTCTCATCAGCTTCTTACGAATAATGTCCTTTGCATGCTTTATTCTAGTACCATCAATCAAAACAGAGCCCATTGATGACTATGATCCAGCCTTAATCTGCAATACAGTACACAGTGGTCTGGGAACAGTAACACAGCCTTACTATTCACAGCATACAATGATCACTGAATCCCCTTCCTGTCTTGTGGCCACTATGGCTCCTTGCCAGCAGTTGCGCTCGGGCCTTTCTTCTCCTGATTCTCGATACCATCAGCAGAATCCAGCCGCTGTAATATACCAAAGAAGCAAGAGCCTCAGTCCGAGCCAGCTGGGCTACCAGCAATCCAACCTGATGGCTACACCAGTTGCTATTTCAGATGCCCATAGGTCAGTACTGGTGCATGCTGGTTCTCCAGGCCAAACTTCAGCGGTGCTCCACCACTCTCCAGGCAACCAGCAGTCTTCTCCAGTGATTCACTATTCTCCAACCAACCAGCAGCTGAGGTGTGGAAGTCACCAAGAATTTCAGCACATTATGTGCTGTGAAAATTTTGTGTCCAATGTTGCAAGGTCCAGCCAGCCCCAGGTCAGTCAAGCTCAAAGGTTAAGTCCCAGTTCATATCCTACCGTGATTCAGCAGCAAACAGCCTCAGGCCAGCGAGCAGCAAAAAATGGACCACCAGTTAGTGACCAGAAAGAAGTCTTACCAGCTGGAGTCACTATTAAACAGGAACAGAATCTGGACCAAGCATATCTGGATGATGGTAAGCACTGTTCTTCTCTTATATGGGTTGGTTTGTTGGAGGGAGAGAGGAAGTTTAGCACCTACATGTTCCTCAGCACAAAACCAACGTGGCCTGCTTTTGATGAGTGTGGATATTGGCTGTTTTCTCATGCTGCATTTTAGTGTTTCATCAACTGCATTTTTGGTAGATGGCAATGCACTTTGGCAACTGAGCAAAAAACATAGCGTTCTGCAGAAACCTCTTGTCTTGCTTCATGCCATGGAGTGAGCTGTCAGGTTTCAAGCTGTTGCCATTTTGTTTCGGTTTGCCAAAAGTTAGTTTGGAAAATGGAGAATCTGAAATAAAATGCACTTTAAATTAGTTTTTTATTATTCATATAAGGGCAAAGTCCACTTTGTAAAATGCTTTTGTACATTTTCTACCAAAAAAGAAAGCCCATTGAACAGTCTATCAAGGCCTGCAATGAATGGGGCAGTGCTGCAGGCAAAACTATTGCAGATGTTCTAGATGAACAGTAGGACATTGATAAGTGAAACAATGCTGTTTCTTTGCTGTGAGCCAGAAGATTTAGCCTTTAGGAATGAATATAAGTTAGAGTAAAGCTTTCTTTGAACATACCCTACTTATTCTTAGGTAGGCAGCTATTGGCAATCTGGTTGGTTGGTTCTTTTATTAAAATACGTTCCTTGCAAGAGGAAGTCAATGCAAATTTAATAGTGCAGCTGGACACTGCAATCATAACGGCTAGTAGCAAACCCGACATTGATTTTATTTGGAGCAGAGTGAGGTTGCTGGATATGTTGCTGCAGATACAGAGTGTTCTTATGCATGAAGTACAGACCTGATTTTCACATATATTCATGGCTGTTGTCTTCTCAGTCTAAGCAATTGCATGCATGGTTTGATGTTGTGAATGTGCACTGTTATGTGCTTTGTGAGCACCCAGTAGTGTGGGATTTTTACTGCAGTTACTTGCCTAGAGTTGTGAAAATGTGCCCATCAAATTTTTACTTCAGCTTAGGTACCGAGTGTTCTGTTGGTTGTATCGCATGTAGTCTTCATTGCTGGTTTTGTGGGCAGAGCAGAGGTTGGATGATCTTCTCTGCTAGTCTGTGTCTGAAATACATTTGATATAACTTTGACGCCATCACAATAAAAATCTAAAGAGTTTTTTACTGATCCTCGTGCCTGAAGAGGAGTGTTGAATTGGGTTTTAACAGTGAATTTGATTTACGAGATTTACTGGATCTGCAGGAAAATAACTAAGTGCAATCCACGTCCCATTCAGGAAATGGGGCATGATAACAAAGTAGGATATTTTTTCTAATAGTAAAATCAAACACCATGATTTAAGGTATTTTTAATATGAGAAGCTGAGAAATTCTTCCATGTTTCTAAAAATGATTGGTACAAACTTTGTGAAAGAAATGAAAAAGAAAGAAACTTGAGGTAAAAGCTAGTAAACTTTGGAGTTGAGCCAAAGTTCATTTAAAACAACTCCCAAAATTGAGGCAAAATTAATTTCACTGGGTTTTGAACCAGGCTGGTAACATCTAACTATATCATAGCTCACAAGAGATGCACTTGACCTCCATTCTAAGAGGAGCCATTAGGCAGAACAGCACCAAGTTAATAATGAAATTCCAGGCTTTTGCTTGGCTGACTTCTTAAATTGATTTCAATGAGAGATTAATTTGTGAATTATCAAGAGATTATTATTGAGAGATTAATTTGAGGGACAGAGATCTACTGGAGAGAGTCCAGCGAAGGGCTACGAAGATCATTGGGGGACTGGAACGCCTGCTGTGTGAGGAGAGGCTGAGAGACCTGGGGCTTTTTATTCTGGAGAAGAGAAGACTTACGGGGAATCTAATTAATGTGTATAAATATATGTGGGCTGGGTGTCAGGAAGGAAGGGACAACCTCTTCTCACTTATGCCCTGTGACAGGACACGGGGTAATGGTCACAAGCTGGAGCACAAGAAGTTCCACCTCAACATGAGGAAGAACTTCTTTACTGTCAGGGTTCCAGAGCACTGGAACAGGCTCCCCAGGGAGGTTGTGGAGTCTCCTACCTTGGAGACTTTTCAGAACCATCTGGATGTGTTCCTGTGTGACCTGCCCTAGACTAGATGGTGCTGCTCTGGCAGGGGGATTGGACTCGATGATGTCTGGAGGTCCCTTCCAAACCCTAACATTCTGTGATTCTGTAATTATGGCGCCCAGGTTAGGCCAGGCTAGATCAGTCACATGCAGTCTCTTTACTGACCTCAGTGAGTTTACATTTGCTAGAAGTGTGACTTGGAGAATTGTGATTTACTTTAGGACTTTGCAAAACCTTTCAATTCTGAAATGCTCAGGACTTGAACTGAAAAGCCACTTCGTTTCCTGCTAGGGAAAAGTGACTCAGAACATAACAAAAGCCATATTTTTCTTAACTAGGAAGTTTATTTTTGTGCTTTATAGTATTAAAAGGAAGCAAACCCAAAGGATTATGGAGGCTTTACCCTCAAATCTCTTTTATCGGGAAAGCTCTTCAGAGATAAAGTGAGTTAGTTGTAGGTCTTGCTGTGATTTTTCACAGGTAGATACTGAGATGATGGTTCCCCAGCCAGGCTTGGCATGAGTGCTTTGCACTGCTGCTGATGCACAGGCTCTTAAGCAACCCCTGTTTCAGTGTCTCTTGCTTCCCTTCTCTCTTCTTTCCTTCCCCCACCTTCCTCCTCCCTCTTCTTTGTTCTTCTTTCTCCATATTTCTGCTGAGAGCCTAGCTTTCATCCCTTTCTGTGGTTATTACCTTCTCTTGTCAACTCTTATCCTCTGTCGTAGTGGTTAACACACCCCCTTGGTGTTCTGGACTTAGCTTCTATTCTGAGCTTTGCCACGATCTTCTCAAGTGACCTGGGACAAGCCCCACTCTGTCGCTTCCTCATTCCTGAAGCTGTTGCCTCTCAAAGTGGGTATGCTGTCCCGGTCTTTGAGCTCTTCTGGAAGTGACCAGAGAAGAACATCTCTCACCTAACATGATTGCTCTTTCTCTTTACCTCTTCCAGCTTCCTGCTGCCACTGCTGGCAGCACCCTTCCTTATTTTATTACCTTCTCTGCTGTAAAAAAAAAAAGTATTTGTCATTCTTTCTGAGACCATGGTTTGCTCAGAGCCTTCACAGCTCCACAGGGCACATAATGCTGGAGACTTTGCACACCTAACCTGTCTTTTCCTCCTGCCTTGTAAAGATAAGAGCTGGTTTCACCTCCACAGGAGGATTATAGTCAAATGCGTGACCATACAAAGCAGTAAGCTCTCAAGGTTGAATAGCACCAGCAGTGTAGCCAAAACGACACTGACTTTAAGGCAGGTGATGGCAAGTATTTACCTATCTTCTCAGGTGGGTTTCTGCCACTTGTGAGGACCTCTGTGCTCTAGCTGCCCAACCAGCACCATCCATAGTGGCTACCTTAATGGTACCTTTAGCATACCTGTAGCTCATTTCTGTCTGTACTGCAGATGTAGACACCTGCCATATGCTTTCGTGGAAGGAGACATTTGCTCCTGTTCTCCTCTTGCTGGTGCTACCTCAGAGCAAGAAGTGCCCAGCCCAGCTAGTGCAGCCCCCTTGCAACTTCTCAGCTTTCCCCTCCCAGCCAGAACTACAAAACACATGGTTACTGGAAGGAAGGCTCTAGCTAGGAAGTCATAGAGGTTGGATTGGGAAATGCAGCCATTAGGAAGACTGCAGGTTAGACATTGCCACACATGTAGATAAGCTATTTACATATTCTTCCATTTACCTACATATTTCTCTGTCAAAAAAAAAAAAAATCCATTACTTTTTGATACCAGTGTAAAGATGAATCCCCAGAGGAAGGGACTATTCATCAGAAATTGTCAGAGAAACCTTTGTTACACACCTCTGCCTCAGAGATTGGTTACTGTTGGAGATACTTTGGGAGTGAAGATAAGCCTTGGTTGGGAGATCCTTCAATATGCATCAGGTGTCCAGGCTAATGCTGGCAAGCAGCAATTTACTTCAAATGCAAGTGAAAGCCATGGGATGAGAGAATGCTCAGCACATTTCAGGTGAGGCCTTATCTTAATACTATTCATAACCAAGACCACCCACGGTGGTAAAAGTTACACAAAAAAATCACAGCAATATGTTACAAAATGGAACTTAGTTCTTCCAGGACATTCAGAGCAACCAGGTTAGCTATTCAAAGCACAAAGCCAGTTACAAAAGGGGTTATTTGCAACATTGGCTTGGAGGAGCAGGAGCAAGAGGGAGGGTGAGCTGGGGCTTGGGGCACTGGTTGTGCCCTGGGCTGCCCATGCTCATGCTGCAGAGTCAGGTTTCCTGGGGAAGCTGCTCAGCTGCTGTATGCCACAGCTCCCCAGTTGCAACACAGAGATACGAGGATCCTCTGACAAGAGCAGTTGGAGGACAAATGCATCACAAACTCTAAAGCAGTCAGATGTGACATAATCTAGAAGTGCCTTGTAGAGTCTGGAGCGTCAAGTCTGGTGTTAGGCTCTTTCCACACACGAATAATGGACGCGTAGCTGTCGTCTTGAAAGTTATCGAGTTCCCTGCCTTGGACTTAGTTATTTTTGGTTCAGCTGTCATGTTATGTGCTTTTTACTTTACAAAGAAAAATGATTGTTATTATTCAAGTAGTAACTATCTAACCACATCTGACGCACAGAACTGTCTGCTTGATACAGCAGCTCTAAATTATTTTTGGTGCAACAGTAATCTTTAACGGGGAGGAGAGCAGCAAGGCAGATGCTTGGGTAGCAGTTTATCAGACTGCCGATCAGCAGACATGTTTTACAGTGGACTCATGTATTTCACGGAAAATTTTGGACATAGCAGATACTTCTTCAGAAAATGGATCTGCAGGGTGTGCAGTGTGGTGCTTGTGAATCCCCCAGCACATGCTGTCACCTTTGCCACAAGCAATGTGTTAATTTGTGCAGTTTTGCTGACTGCCGCAGTAACCACTGCTCTCACCATGGGGC